TAACTTGTAATCCATTTCTGGGTATGCCACCTTCAACCGTCTCTTATGTATTTCCCCACTTCCTGCTTTGACAACTGTCTGTCCCAGCACAACCTTCCTCTTCCTTTATCAGTTCTGGGTAACAGGGAACACGCCTAACATCTGCTTTCCTTGGTAACCTAACGTGTTAGGGTGATGTCTCTATTTCTGTATGCCTAAATTGATACTATAAGCATGGTAAGATAAAATATGACACATTTATTCACGTTTGAAGGAATGTTAATAAAAACATCTTATTTCTGTAGCATTCTTTTAAATGCTGCCACATTGTGTGCTAGTTAATACTTTTTTTCCTGATCGTTGAAAAATCACTCTTTGAGGAAGGTAAATTAACTATGAAAAGTAGGATCAGCAAATAGCTGCCTTCGGAAGGAAGGTAAAAAGGGAATGGAGGCAGGAAGGAGAGATGGGAGTGAGCAAAGAAGGCTGCTAGGGAAGGCAATCACGTTAAATGTTACATGTACAGTATTAGGTAAACCCTGACATCAATGACCTCTCCCTAGGCTCAAGTGGAGGTTCAGGAACCTCCTTCCACAGGGCCATTTCCAACCAACAACACTCTCACACTCTTTGCTCTAAGCTAACTAAGCAATTGATCCCTAAACAGCAAGACATCTTTTAAAGCTGGCTTTAAAAAAATCTACCATAGATACTCGAGTATAAGCCAAGGCACCTATTTTACCACAAAAACTGCATTAAAAATGTGCTCAAAAACTCAGCTTGCACGGTACTTTGCTTTTTAAAAGTTAATCCAAGTATTTTAAAAGATAACAAATACTAAGAGTTAAGCAATATATGTTTACTATACCTAAAATTAGAAGAAAAAAAGAAAAGAATTATAGTCTTCCCATCTAAAGATAATTACCAATAATATTCTGATGTACATCTTTCAATTTTTTTTTACTCACAAAGATTTATGGCTATTGCCATAAATTAGTGCTAAATGACAAATGGTAATTTATTGAGTGGATGTACTATAATTTCCATAACCATTCTTCTACTTCGAATATTTAATTTGCTTCAAAAATTTTCCTTATATAACTATAGCTGCAATGTGTACTTTTGTTTTTAAGTTTTCCCTAAATTCGGCATTATT